CTACTTTTCCTTGAGTAGAAGGTTATTCAGGAACGAAGACAAAAGATCTCATTTTACATATGGTTATTGCTAGCTGTTGCCCTGCTGTTTCTTTTTTGATTATATTGACAATGGAGACAGTGGTTTCTAAGATTAGGCAAATTCAGTCTAAGTTATAAATAGCCAATTGAACTAGCCAACAAAAGGAAGACAGGGCAGCTGATGAACTGGCACTACTAACCCTCACTAACTGCCAAAACACGCACATGAAGCCATCAAAACATACCATTAATTCCACTATAAATTGTCTTTCCACCTTTCATGCAAACAAACGCGAATATTTTTCCCTGGCAAGGTGACAGTGCAGCTAATACTGGAAACCATTTCTAGGCATATGAAGGATGACAAACTGCTCAGCGGTAGGCAGCACTGAAAAGTTTGTGATATGTCTAAATTCATTGATACTTAAAAGTGCAAAACTCAGCAAGTGTTAGCTGTAAAAGCTGTACAGTTAAGACTTGTATTTTACCCTTAAGCTTTTCAACACAAAGCCCAGGACGTGGAAGAGTTTGTCAAATCCAGGTTAAAGTAACATCACCTTGTACAACCAATACCCTTGATTCATTCTGACTAAATAGCTTATCTAAATCCTTGGGTGTGGGGAGGGGGACGTAGGACAGACGGACACAAACTTTATGTAGCAATCTGTATTCCTGAATATAAGTTGCTTCTAAAAAGATTTTTTTAGGTCCATGCTTGAAATTTAGCAGCTACATCAACCAGAAATGTTTACAAAATTTGTTCCTAATGTTCAAGCACATATGTAGAACTTCTTGGAGCTGCATGCCCAGGTCAGATAGGAAATATTGTCGTAGCAACTGTATTTCCATGCATCACCTAAGTTTCACCTCATATTTGTTTTTATATGTAGAAAAAGCTACATCAAAATACACATTCATTTTCCAGTGCAGTTCACAGAAAGTGTAGCAAACATGTTCTTAGTGGGCAACAAACCTCATGTCATACAGCAAGTCTGATACACTGAACTACTATCAGAACCTCAGAAAGACAGCATTTTTCTGTGATAGGATTTTCTTTCCTCTTACAGAGCTCACTGCTCCCCTCTTTAACCTGAAGCTTTTACTGTTGCAAAACCTGACTACACAAAGGATTTTACATCTCTAAGCCACAAGTACTAATGATTGTTTTTACAGGTGCCAATATGATGATGGTTTTCGATGCATCTTCACCTTCCTATGCCCCAAATCCAGTGACACTCAGGTTTAATCGATGCCTTCAGATTTAATCAGAAAGTGTTGAGAAAGAAGTTGCTGTAGTGTGATACAGATAAGCAACAACCTAACTCTGAAGTGGGTAACAGTGCTCCACAGTGATTCTGGGAAATACACAACAGGGTAGGCAAGCAGACAGAATAAGGCAGAGCAAAAAACCCTTGAAGATCAGTAACTCACCTTTAGCTCTGATTAGCTGCAAATGTTTAGCAATCAAGAATGGTTTAGCCGTAATCATTATTTCTAAGTGGGAACTGATGTTAACAAAAGAAAAACATAGCCTAAGGAAAATAACCTTTCTGGGCTGTAGAGCCAGAGCCAGAAAAGCAGCACAGCACAGGAGTCCATCCCTTCTTCCCTCCTGCCTTTCCCCTGTCTCCAGCACTGACAGCTCTCAAGGATGGGCCTCTCTAAGGAAAAGTTATCCTGCCTTTTTGGTTATTTTTCCTACCCCTCTTGCTCTAGAAGTGAATTTGTTTTAAGACATCATTCTAAAAAACAGCATGATTCTCCTCATTAGTAGTTACAAAAATGAAGTTTTTCTTTGGTTTGCCTGTTTTGAAACAGAAATAATTGCAATTCAGATTTGTTGAGCTAGTTTTTACAGAATTTTATGGGAAAACATGTCATAAAAATGACACCACAAACATGGATGAAGAAATATAACAACTTACATACCTTCCTCTCATGACCTGAAGTCACATTGCTAAACCAGCCTGTGCAGTGATACACAGAGGAACAGGAGAGCTTCCTTTGCTTGATGGGAACAGCTGAACCACTCAAGCACAGAAACAAGCCAAGACACCAATGGAGACAACAGGAAACCACGGCTGCCCTTGCAGCTTTTCATTCAACAGCACAGGCCAATTTAATGTGAGAACCAAGTTAAGCAATTGGTCAGCACTGGATGAGTCTCCTGTAGAGCATCTTGTGTAGCATCAACTACAGCATTTTAAGATCGTTATGAAATAACTGAAGAGAGGCCAATAAAAAAGATGACCAATAAAGAAAGACCAAATAAGCTAGGAATATTTCATCCTAAAGTAGAGGAAGCTAGAACGTGGTAATGGGGGGCTCCCACTTGAAGATTTTAAAGAACAAGCAAACTAAGTATGCATCAAGAATGGAACAGGGTAAGTCTGTCTTCACCTTGAACAGAGGGAAAGAAGGACGGATCTCTTGAGGTCATTTCTAGCCCTATGTTTTCCTAGGATTTTGAGATGGACCCTTCAAACCTGCTGGAGCATGTCCAGAGAAGGGCCAAGAGAATGATCCAAGGGCTGGAGCAGCTCTCCTACGAGGACAGACTGAGAGAGTTGGGGCTGTTCAGTCTGGAGAAGAGAAGGCTCCGAGGTGACCTTATTGTGGCCTTCCAGTATCTTAGGGGGCCTACAAGAAAGCTGGGGAGGGACTTTTTAGGATATCGAGTAATGACAGGACTAGAGGGAATGGGGCAAAGCTGGAAGTGGGCAGATTCAGGCTGGACATGAGGAAGAAGTTCTTCACCATGAGAGTGGTGAGACCCTGGAATGGGTTGCCCAGGGAGGTGGTTGAGGCCCCATCCCTGGGGGTCTTTAAGGCCAGGCTGGATGAGGCTCTGGGCAGCCTGATCTAGTGGGAGGTGTCCCTGCTCATGGCAGAGGGGTTGGACCTGGGTGATCCTTGTGGTCCCTTCCAACCCTGACAGATTCTGATCTGTTTTAGCAGAGGACTTTAGAGCCCTCATGGCTCAATGGTTGGACTTGATGATCTTGAAGATCCCTTCCAACCTAAAAGATTCTATGATTCTATGAACTACTTCACTTACCTGCAAAGGAAGATGCTCTTCATTCCTAAACAGTCCCACATTGCAAGCTGCCCTTTTCTCAGAATATTGTGATTTATTCCCCTTCCAAAAGATTCTTCATACACTTTGGTGTAACTGAAATCCAGCCCAAAATATCAATCAAGCTTTTAATTTATATCTTTTTGATATAATAATCTCTCTAGAATTAAAGGACCATAGTTCTTAGGTTTTGATACAATACAATTAGATATCATGGCTTTTAATAAAAGAGTTTTAAACAGAAGGTTAAGACAGCATTAAAAAAATTATTAGCATGTCACTAGAGTCAGAGCAGACAGCTCTTTAATAGCACTGGACAAGGAATTTAAGGGAAAATCCTTCAGAGAAGTAAATGAATATTCTTTCCAGTGGAATGATATCTTTAAAGACAAAAATCAAGATTATGCAGGTCCTTGTTTCAAAAGAATCATTTTGAAGGTTAAATATACCTACCCAAAGCAATTAAGATGAGAAGAAGAAAGAGACAAAAAGAATACTCCAAGGGCCAAGTATGTAAGACTGAAAGAAATATTCAGTCAAGGCATAGCCATCCATTTTCCCCTGAAATCTATTTATTTAATATGAATGTAAAGGTGTGCACAAGAGATGAATGGGTTACAGGAGAAGGTAAAATGAAAGCTCTAAAATGTTGTTCTTTGGAGAGCATCACCATTATGAAGGAGAACTGTTTGTTGCAAGTCAAACAGATTTCTGTTTGGATTCAAGATTAAGTTATGCATGGCTCTGTGAGCAACTATTAGGAGAAGTCGGTGATTACAGAAGGAATACACCTACAGCAGTTAGTGCTTGACTGACTCCAGTCTCAGTTTTAGCAGTGGTAGATCTCACAGGTGACCAAGAAAGAAATTTAACTTTTACTTTAAGACTACAGTCTTCCTCTCCAGCTCTGGTCTTTACTCTGGAGGACAGGATGAAATAAAGCACCCCTGGCCTTTGTCATACACTTGACATGAGATGAAATACAAAATCTATGTCAGCTTTTGCTGTATGAACAAAATTGTTCATAAGTTTGTAAGTTCTACCAAATACTTGTCTCATTCCTTAGCCCTGAGAGTCAGCTTTATTAATTTATTTGCTTTTATTAAACTATTCTTGCTCAAAACAACTGAAAACCCTTAAGACAAGCAAAAAGGTTCCTTAGCAAACTCACATTACACAGCATTCCACAGCTCCATTACAAAATGAAAAAGCCCTTGAATTGCAGTATTTTGCATCACAACCCCAGCTCAGCACTTCCTGGGCAGAAACCTGGGATATTTCTCAGTTTTAAATTCCATTACAGAAAACAAGAACAGACTCTCCTTTCAGCTGTATTTCCTCACCTAGTATATGTATTTATAGATAACCTCTGTACTGGCCCCTGCCCACTTGTGATGCCCTGATGCTAATTTAGAAATAATTCAAAAAGAAAAGTAGGCTTCCGATTTTATTACCCATCCCACTTCACAAACCAAACAGATTTCCTCTCAGGTGTCACAAGAGTAAAGCAGAGGACATACTTTGTTTCAACTCCTGGTGAGAGGCAGCAGATGTTCCTCTAGTCAACCCTTACTAGAGACACAGCAAGTTTTTTCAGAGGCTGCATCAAAGGTGTAGCTCTGATGGATGCATAAAATAAGACAGACTGAGAGCAGAGCTTTCTAGAGGAAAAAAGACCAGTGGACTTAAAGGAAAACAAGATATTTAAGGCTACCTGTGTGTTTTTAAAAACTGTAGCTAGGAATAAGAATTAAAGATAATATGGAGAAAATATCATACTACCTGGCACAGCTGCTTACAAGTACCATGCACAGAGCAGGCAGCTGAACAGATCCCCTTCCTCTATATTTTACTTTTGTTGAGAAGAGATGACTTCAGTGACTTCAAATTCAGTGTTAACATACCTGTCCTGGCTTCCTTCTGTGATGTGGTAGAGACGATTGGCACCTCCATCTGCACAAGCTCTCAGTGCAGCTGCAAGTGAAGAAACAGAATTTCAGTGTATTGGCATTTGAAACAAAAAAACCCAACAAGTTACTCCACCAACTGATATTTCTGTGTCAGCTCAATTGCTCACTGCAGCATAGGGAGTAAACTCAAGATCTCATATGGCTTTTAGCCTCCTATACTTGACTACTTCATTTCTTTAAATAGACATTTGAACTAGTTTTATGAGACTGGTGCAAATCTTCACCTGACTGTACCACTGTACTTTCCAAATAGGTTATTGTTGTCTATCTTAACCTACTGCCCAGTCAGTTTAAACTACATGGGGGGCAAGTATTCAAAACCTGAAAAGGGCCCATCCTCCATGTAGGGGCATGTACTTATCTGAACAAGTGGAAACTTGCACCTTAAACCTAAAGATTTTCTCACCCAGGCAAAAAGTTCAGCATGTCATTGTAGTGTTACCATTGTGTTCTCCTGTGATCCTTTTGTTTACATAGACTTAAGTCAGAGGAAAAAGTCTAAGGTATTATTATTACAAAATCAGACATAAATTGATATGTTTTACTCCTAAGCATCCCCGTTAATCATCATTTAGCTAACACACAGTTCTTTCATGAGAGTTTTCAATTATTTCAATTTCAAAGCTATTAAAGACTGAAAATGACCCTCTTGTCTTAGCAGTCTTTATCAGTTTTGCTCCAAGATGCACAAGTCAGATAAGTGCAGCAGGTAAGACAAAAGCATAAGTGCAGCAGGTAAGACAAAAGCAGTTGTCACTTCCACAGGAAAGCAGAGACCTTCTGGATCTGTGGGCAGAGAGAGACCAGCTGGTAGACCTGAGAGGGACGGAAGTCAGAGGATCAGGGGCGGGGAGGAGGGCAAAGGGAAAAAGAAGAGAAGGAAAAGGAACAACCTGCCCAAGTTTTGGAAAAAAAAGGTATAATCAGATCAGGCACTTCCGGCTGCTGAGAATCTCATTTTCAGCCAAAGCTGCTTTGCTTTGGTGTTAATTTCTCAGTCACAACCACCTCTCAGCAGTGACCCAAACCTACATTTTTCCTTTTGGCACTCATTTGATGGGCAATCCACACCTCCCCCTAGTTTAGCCACCAACTTGGCCAGCCCATACAAACTGGGACAACAAAGTTCACCTCTGTATCTGCTCTTATCTTAAGCCATTCTTCCTTATTTGGCTGCTGAACTCCCCAACAGGGAATGTTCTGTCTGGGTATATACACCACGGAGCACCACGTGACCTTAGAACATTTCCAGGATGGCAGCACCTACCACCTTTTTGGGCAACCTGTGCTTCACTACCTTCATCATAAAAACTTTCTTCCTTATATCTAGTCTAAATCTATCCTCCTTAGTTTAAAACAATTTCTCTTTGTCCTATCGCAACATGTCTTGCTAAAAAGATTGTCCCCATCTTTCTGACAAGACCCCCTTAAGTATCATAAGGCTACAAGAAGGTCTCCCCAGAGCCTTGCTTTCTGTTCTCCAGGCTGAACAACCCCAACTCTCTCAGCCTTTCTTCATAGGAAAAGTCTTTCAGCCCTCTGATCATTTTTGTGGCATTCTCTGGACTCTCTCCAACAGGTTCATATCCTTGTGCTGAGGGCTCCAGAGCTGGTAGCTTTGGCTACCAAGCTGGTAGCTTTTTCCTGTAGGCTACAAGAATGTGCAGGGCAGGAGAACTTGTATCACACTTCTCAGTATCTCTTCTAGCACTACTCCTGCTCTGTCTCCTTAACCTACTTCACCCACTCCTTCAAGCCACCATCTAAACCCATGTCAACAAACCCAGGTCGAAGGGATTTGATCCTGACAAATCTTATTATCTGAGAAAATTTCTAAGTTATAGTAGCTGGTCAGCCACTTAGCACAGCAGTTCACTGCTTCTGGCTCTCGCCAGGCTCCTCACCCATCCTGATGAATACAAACACCACAAGACACAACTTACCTATTGTGTTTGACTTGAAGCTTTTAACTGGTCCTCTCACCTGAGTTACAGAAATCCATCTGAAACTGGATTTCTGTAACTCCTTTCACCTGGGAACATTTGTTAACTTCTCTCAGGGAGTTCAGCTCACGCAGAATTTTGTAAGAGTTCCTTGCAAGAAGTGTGTGTAGTACTTGCCCTTAAACAAGCTATCCAGGCCATCAGTTTATTTAGCAGATATAAGGCATCTAAGCAAGGTCTAGGACCTAAGCAATTATAGAATCTTTTCTCTCCCCTTAAGCTACAAAACCAATTAATCAGTTGAGGCACTATAATCAAAACAGTAAGAATGCTGCAGAAAAATAGTTTTCTAGCTTCATGTACAGAACCTACCTAAAGGATGATTCTGGGCAAAGACAGCCCCAGCTTTTTCCTTCTGAAAACACTGATTTCTACATCTATTCTCCCGCATTTTAGACAAGTAAGTGGCTTATGACTTCCAGGGGAAAAAAAAGAAAGAATGACATACATAAAAAGTATTTATCTCAATAACTTTAAGACAATCAGAGCCTTAACTGTTGTAAATTATCTGAATAGATTTACCACAAGGGGAACCTGTCCTAAGATTTCTTACCTGATTTTACTATAACAACATGATGAAAAAACCAAAGCAAACTACATATTACAAAACACATCAGTTTTCAATCAGTGTGGTGCATATAAAACTACTGAGATTCTCCCAAAGACTTGAAAGTGCTTAAGTAAGGGGTCTATGACACTTGCACGCTGTTCATATGAATATGAGCCTGCTGTTTGATATTTTAAATCAAAATAGTTGCCTTATGTAACTGTATTTTAAAGCTGTCTCTCACAAATTTATATTTATTATATAAGAATAAATATGTGGGAGACAGCTTTAAATTCTTATTTATTCTTACTATAAATTTTAAAAAAAAACAAACAAACAAAACTTCAGCAGCATTGTAAAGTTATTTAGAGAAACTATTTATGAGGTACTGATCCTTTACCAGCAAGTTAATAACTTACACTGGAATGAACCAAAGCCCCAGGTGATTTAAGTAACTAGCAGGTAATTAACTGATTGGCTGGAGGCCAGTAAATCATATTATTTCTACAGCTATGAACCAAGCCTTGCTTGATAAAATGTAATGATATATATTAGCTGGAAGAACATGTATCATTATTATCTGGAAGTATTTAAGGAGATAGTCAGCAATTCTAAGCTCACAATTCAGATGGAAAAGCCTCTATGAAAAGATAACAGGAACTGATTTTACACAATACCTTTTATATGAGAGACAAAATTGCTTCACAAACAACAAAGTGGCCAAGGTTCACCACGGCAACTGTGTAGGCAAATCTAGTAGTCTCTAGGCACTCTGCAACAGCTCAAACAAAACCTCATTAATTACTTCAGGAGAAACTGAAGGACCTGAGCAAGATTTGGGCTTTGTTTTGCTTGGCATCATGAAAACACAGAGACCTTATTTCACTAAATTTACAATTTAAACGGATGAAAAAGTGGAAAGTCACACAGAGGGATGAAATGCTAGTGGTCACTCATGGGTCAAAGACAAGTTCTCTTCCAGGGTGACCAAGATGGATGGTGGGGCTTGTAGAGGGAAGAATAACTTAAGTGGTCAGACAGAAGACAGAAGGTGTTGCACACACGTTCTCTTCTGATCCAAAGATCACTGTCCCTTTATTGGAGACCCCTCATATTTGCTAGGTGCATTCCACATGGAAGTACTCTCTAGTTCAGGTATGCCAGAAAGAACTACATCAGTAAAGACGAAAGGCTGTGAAGTGAGCCAGGAGCTGAGGAATGCTCATCCAAGTAGCTCACTGAGCTTCGATGGGCCAGGAAGGCCAACACCTCCCACAAAGACACTGTGATATGTAACTGGGAGCAGCAGCTTTTTCAACCAGCACAACTGGAAGCAGAGGAGACCTGTGCCCTTGGCCACCCTACTCAGCTGGAGAGCCAATCTGCACTCCTTGGCATCACCACAAATTACAGCCTTTCCAACCTGACTGTTCTGTGGCAAGCTCCGTTCCTTAGAAGTAGCTCCATCTGTCAAATTACCACCTTTTCTACCTGTCAAATTCCTTTCTGATATAACTCCAGTGTCAGTCAGTGAACCAGGGAATGGAGACATTTACAAAAATTCAACTGTTTCGTTGTGCTGCTTAGTGGAAAAGTACAGACAGGGAAACTCAATGCCAATAATTACTACCCAAGTTACTGGGAGCAGCATATGTTCAGTTCAGTACTGTCTGAAATCACACCAAGAGTAAATATTCAGTTCCACCTATGCTGAGGAAGAGTTACTTTAAGAGCATATTATCAGCCCACAATATCTCTGAAAAGGAGTTTCTCATAGGCAATGTGAATGAAGAAACCAGTCTTTCTGAATAATGTCCTTCATTTTAAAAGGTGTCTCTTCTTCTAGGAGCCAGGGGTCTGTTTCCCTTTAGTGATCAAAGTTGAGAGGCCAATTTTAGGGCTGATTATTAGTGAATACATTTTTACAAAAATTATTCTAACACAACAGAAACAGCAGGAACAATTTATGTTATATTACTCTTTTGGTATATCACAACAGAAACAGCAGGAACAATTTATATTACTCTTTTGGTACACATAAATAACTTTTTGTTGCTGTGAGACAGGATATGAACAGCATATCAAACAAAAAGGAAGGTCTTAGCTCTGAGCTAAGTAATCCTGAAGCTTTTTAAAGAAAACAAGCAAGTATTTTATCATACCTTCAACAGCCCTGCAAATTCAGGTGGGGGAAAAACAACTCTACAGAACAGATGCAGACTCTTGCAGACTGAGTAAGATGAGGGTACAAAAAGGGAATACACTTATACACACTATCAATACCCGGGGAAGAAAAGCATTGCTTTATTATTCCAAAACTATTAGTCCTTCCAATTAGCATTTAAAACTTTTTTTTTTCAAACAAATCTTGAAATTAATACATGTTTTTGCCTAAATTCAAATCCATGACATCTCCCTTTAAATTGCCTTAGTATATCCCTTCTGTTCCTTTCT